TGTATAACTAACAGAGGAGAGCAGCAAGTTCATGTCCTTTTGGACCCCGTTTGGGAGATACCGTTGGCTGAGGCTCCCTTTTGGAATATCATCACAAGAAATTTTTGCACAGAAAGTGCTACAAATTACTCAGGATTTAAGAGGCATTGAAATATTAGTTAATGACATTCTAATTTATGGACATGGTGATTTTTTAGATGAGGCATAACAGTAATTTGGAGACTCTCTTAATATGATTAGAAATATCAAATTGTAAAATCAACAAAGATAAAACCAAGCTATACCACACATCTGTAAAATTTTTGGGTCACATTTTGACAAGTGAAGGATTATGATCTGATCCAGATAAAACAAATTCTATTATAAAAATGCCTTCCCAAAAGAACAAGACAGAGCTCCTTGATTTTTTAGGTATGGAGACGTACTTGATATGATATTTTGAGAATCTGACCGAGGAAACTAGAATCTTGGGAAGACTTCCGAGAGACGATTTAGACTGATCTTGGACTAGCAAGAAAGAAAAGGCTTTCAAGAAGAATAAAGAATTGGGTAGCAAATATAGAGTATCAGCAATATTTTAATGTTAACCAACTAGTGACTCTAGAATGTGATGCTAGCTCTACAGGTTTGGAGGTCGCTGTTTATCAGAAGGATAAAGTGGTTGGATATGCTTCTGTGGCATTCACAAAAACAGAAAAGAATTATGCTTAGGCTTAAATGGAGCTTTTGGCTATAGTTTTTGGATGCACAAGATTTGATCAACTATTGGCTGGTAATAAACAAATTATAATAAAAACAGACCACGAGCCCTTGATTTCAATTTTCAAGAAACCCTTATTGAAAGCTCCTAAAATCATTAACTAATGTTAATGACATTACAAAGATACCACCTGGAAGTGCACTTTGTGAAAGGAAAAGACAATGTGGTTGCGGATGCTTTATCATGGGCATCTGTTGGAAATGATTAACTGAAGAAAAGAAAAACTGAAGTACAAAAATATTTTCGAGCTAAAAAGTAATTCATTTATCTTTCAAGCACTAGAGAAGATATATTTGGAGAAATTGTAGCAGATATCACCTGAGGGAGATGAGGAAATTAGATCATGCTTTAACAATGCAGCTTAAACGATTTAACAATGCAGAAACTAGTAGATTATATCTCAAAGCTAAATTTAAATCGCCTGTTTCTCACCCAAGAAGTACCTCCTTTTTCTACTAGTTGGAGAAGGAGCTTAATAAAATTTGCGTGATCAGATGGAAGAGCAGGCCTCATGGCCTGAGTCTCGCCACGTAAAATAAGGCATTAATTCAATTCAAATGGTTGGCCAAAATGTTATTCTTTAGTAGAAGATTCATGTACATTGTTTTATAAATACAAGAATGAACTGATGACACAATATATATCATCTACAGGAATGACAGGATATTAATTGCCCTCTCATTACGAAACAAGATTTTGGAGAAATTACATATCGCTCATTCTGGAATAGAAGCAACTCTTAATCTGGCTAGGGATACCACACCAAAATATCCATTTCAGCTTGTATCGATGAACATTTTCTTGGTCGAATGCAAGGGTTGGAAAAGAAGATTTTTGGTTTCTGTTGATCTCAGTAGCAAATATTGTTATGACAATAAAACAAAAAAATCACACGAGTTGGAAATTGGTCTGGCGGTAACAGTGCAAGTACACCCTGATAAAGACTGGACATGGATGTGAGGGGTGGTTCGGGATACACTTAAAGACAAGGATTACATTGTTGAGGTGGAAGGAAAAAAATTGAAGCAACATCATAAATGTGAAACCATCCCAGGGCAAACAAACCAAGCTTGAGTGAAAGATGTCATCCACAATGACCATTCACCACTATTTGATATGAAAAAAATTGTGAACAACTCTGACAACAGCAAAACATTAAAGAATCAAGAACCATTGAAAAATACAATACAGATTGATTCAAATCTTCAATCAACACTGGGTGCAAGACCCATAAGAAATGTGAAGATGCCTTCAAGATTTGATGATTTTGTCCTTTAGAAATAGTTTCTTTTTAATTTTTGCCCTTTGATCTAGACATTGTATTCGTTTTTAGTATTCGTATATGTGTGTTTATAATGTTATTAGAATGATTATTAACTTTATTTTGTAAAAAAAGAGGGACTTGTGGGTAGGCAGCAAGGAGTGAAGTCAGTGTAAGAGAACATGTGGAATAAAGCATGCTGAATTGTGATAAGTGTATTACTTCAATAGCCACTATAACAAGTATGGGAAGTTTCATTGATTCACTTCCAAAGAGTTGTGTGTAAAAATATTTTTTGCAATATTTCTTGACTGAAGGAGAAATACTCTGTGTTATGCATACATCTGCAAAACAACTTCTGATAACAAAACATACATTTCCATAAAAATCAATTTTGCATGAAATATAAAGAAATGCAATTAAAAGGATACAACAACAGGTAGAGCTGGAATTCCTAACCAAACACCAATTGGTAATGTAAAACTATCTGCAATTCTTCCGGGCTGAAACAAAAAATGAAAAAACTTGATTTAATCCATACGCATTAAAAAGTAATTGAATTAAAGAATCATTGGAAAGATCATAAATAACAAAAATCAATTTTATTTTACTGATTTTCTATTTAATCATTTATTCATTCAATTACAAAAGAAAAAAATTAATCTGTACCATCAATTTAGAAATAGTTGATGGATAAATGTGAAAAATAAAAAAATATTCAATGCTTATGACTGTCTCCCCTTTATCAAGTAACTTCAAAGTAAAGCTCACAATGTAAAGAACCTTATCTAAAAGAGAGAAAGATAATACAACCAGAGATGGGGGCTCTTAAATGGATACGTATTTGTTGTTACAAAAATAGATCTTCATAACTATTTCAATCTTCCCTTTCACACGTTTCTTGAGAACAGAGTTTTTTAGAATTGCAAGCATTACTAATAATCAAAATTACTCATAATACATTACTAATAATCAAGCATTACTAATAATCAAAGAAGATGAATTCACCATGATTATGTCTGAATTATCTCTTTTAAAAAGGAAAGCAAATTAAAAGAAAAAGAAATTAGTTGTCATTTCTGATGTATTTCACAAGAAAAAAGTTGCTGTCCACACTCACTACATTAGGTATAGACACCATGGCCAATGCAGCTAAACTATGACCTCGCAGATGAAGCCAAATATCATGCTGTTTACACAGTTCTTGGAGACGTGGAAGATTGTCTACATGACCAGCAATTGTAGTCCCTATAAAAAAGAGAAATCAAATATCTGACTTAACTATATACTTTGCAGAAAGAATGATCACAGTATTAAAATTTTCCATTCAAATTTGCACAATTTTTTAAACCTTTGACTGTGCAGGTAATGTTAATCATACCTATCACCAAGAATAAATTACAAAAAAAGTGAAATGCTAATCATATATTTTAAAGAATATGAAAAACAAAATAAAATAGACTGGTCTTACAAATGATAAAAAAAAAAAATTTTTTTAAAAGAAGGAAATGAACGTATTTAAGTTTTTTAAAGTCACTAATACCACTAGAAACTTGTAAAAAATTATATTTATGTCAAATGTACATCCTGTACAATTTGTGTATGTAGTTGAAGAAATCTGCACAATTCTTTACACGTTTGTCCATAATTTCCAAATTTTTTACAATCTATCCAAGATCTCACCTGCATCAGCAAGCACAATCAAAGGTACTTTTTCAGCAGCCTTATCTTCGTCTATAAGTCTTTCTAAAGCTGCCACATCCATTTTTTGTTGTGAACCAAATAATGTATTGCATGGAACTGGACGAACACAAGACATTGGCAATCCTAACTGAAATTATAGAATCAAAATAAACATTCAAACAATGTTTATTTAAGATTAAAAAATGACAGAAAGAACTACTGAAGTTAATCAATGTCTGTACCTGTCTACAAATATGTTGCACCACTCCCAAAGGGGAGGCCATACTACTATAAATGACAGGAGGATGTAAGGACAATGCTTCAAAGCCGTCTTCTAAATACTTTGGATACTTATAATGGAGCATCATGCGAGTAATCCTTACAATACCTTCTAGAATATCATCATGAAGAAAAGCTGCACAATCTAAAAACCTAAACGGACATAGCATTTCTATTAATTATTTCATTGACTGGTTTTGCAGGCACATTAACTGCTGTGGACATTAGTCCTACAAGTGTAGTGAATGTTTATACCCCAGAAAGTGGTTGTGTTCCACCCCTGCTGGTCAGTGTGATCTGGCACGACCTGCATGTCAGCTTGTAGATTTCCCTCTCAGGTATATCCCCCAGTGGGCCACCACCCAAACCAGAGCAAGATCTAAGCTACCAGCCAGTCTTCTGGCATGTGCGGTAGTGTAGTGCACGCAAGTGTCAGTGTGTAAGGGGAGAGAAGAACAAGAATGCAACAAGAAAGAGGAAGGAAAAAAAATTGCATTCCCTAGTCCATTTGTCAGGGTACTGCTCAGGCAATCACCTGGTTTTGATAAGACAAACCATGGAAAACTATCAATTAGAGCAGCTTGCCATTAGACAGCAGCTAATTTTGACCCAGTTATAAAGCTAGTGTTGAAAATCTGGCCCGTCAGGGCTTGAACCCCAGGACCTCCATGTCAGGGTAGTAATAGTACCACAGTAATGCTAACTGAGCTAATCCAATTGGTGTTTTTCTGTTAATTAATATTCACTAACAATCCTCAAAACAATAGAAAAAATGTTAACATCTTCCTAAATCTGAATTTTTTCTCTTATAAACTAGATTCAAATCACTGGTCATTGCTAACTCACTTTAGTCAAATGCTAAATACTAAAAAGATTCTTTTTGATATTAAAAAAGGCCATTGATAAAACAATGAATTCTGTGACAATAATTCACACTGTTAAACATAAAAGTATAAGTCAGGTTTTTAATTTTGTTTATAAATAACTTTTACATCACTAATAACTATAAAGTTCTTATTTAATGTCTCAAATTTACCATTTTCAACTGGAAAGGCTAACTGCAATTTGTTAAAATTAATTCTAGATCATTAAATTCAATTAATTAATGCTCAATAAAGCAAATAATTTAAAAGATAAATAACATACTATATTTTTTATAGTTCTGTGAAGAGGTGTATTGAAACAGAAAAATAAAATGTATATTAACAAGTAACTTTTAATTCCAAAACAATTTTCGAACTCAAACTTACCTAAATAAATGACTCAACCACCTAGTTGTGTCTGATGTGATCCTAGTAATCAACTTCTGTAAATGAGATCTCTCAAGTCCACTGGCATAGGCAGCTATACTTTGAGTAACAATGGCCAAGCGTGATATTGCATCAAGCTGAGGAATTGATGCTACATTATGACTTAAACTTTCATCATCTTCAGTTGAATCAACCCTATTACTTGGGTCTTCATGTATTATCAAGTCCTATAAATCAAACATCTCATTATATGAAATGTTCCACAATATAAATGTTATTTACCACTTCACTTAAAGTTGACACTGTTGGATAACTTAATCACCACCTTCCAAAACAATAAATGTGTAACCCTAGCTGTACCTCAAGAACTGTAAGAATTTCTTCCGTTGATTTGCTAGGTAGTGGTAAAAATCCTGGTGAAGTTTTCCACGACTGCCCACTATTAGACCCTCCTCCTCCATCTTCAGCTTTTTCCACTGCTTCTTCCAATCGTTCAATTACTTGGGAAGCTTGGAATTCTATTTCACCCACAGTGGCATTAGAATTTGTCTGAAAATTTAAGTAGTTTGTACTATCAATCCTCTGGAAGAGCATACTTTTATACATGTCAAATCCTCACATATTACTTAAATATCTACTGACACATTTTCTTCTATTGTAAGAAAAGTCTTTCTGACATTGAGAAATTGTCAAATAATTGTTTTGACAAGTAAACTATTTATTTTGTACGTGTCATGATCGAGAGTACACTATGCATAGTACATCGTACGAGTTTATAAGGTCCACGACAGACTACATCAGAAGAAATGTATTTGTAACTCAAGAGTAACACAAACCTCCAGATGCGGTTTTTCTGTCTTTTCAGGAGTTGATGTCTTAATGTTTACGCCGGCATCAGCCATCGTGGCAAAACTATCGCCTCGTAACACAAATTTAATTACAATCTAGCTGGGACAAATGACTCCTACGTGGCGATAACATTATCAGCTATGCTTCCGCATCCACGACTGAAACCACAAACCAATATACAACCACTATTTCCTCTCTGCTCTCAGAGTAGCATTTCACTTTCGCCGAGTGAGTGGAAAATTAGTGTTAATTGTGTCGAATGCAGAAATATTCAATTTCGACAAAACTAAATAGTCGTGTGTTCAGTGTTGGTAGTGTGCGTGTTTGACAGTTCTTCATCGGCGGTCCTTTTAAACTAGTGCGCAATTAACTTCAAAAAAAGAGCCACGTTTTCATCGACATTGCATTCGTTAAAAGCAGAAATATTACAAATATTTTCTTCCTTTGATCATGATGCAGTAAAAAATGTTTATGGAAAGTGATTGGATAATTAATTGAAATGCAAAAACGTATACTTCTTTTTAAACTTGAAGAAATTATAAAATCAATATTTTACTTAAATTTGTTTTTGATTCAGTATGTTTTAATGATCAATTAGACAATATTTTTTTATAGATTCTATATTAGTGCAAATTAAAATGAAATTTGCAACAGTGTGTTTTTTGAGTAAATCAATTGTGGTTTTAACTTCTTTATCAAGAAGTGTATTAATTCCTTTCTTTCCTCTATACATAAAATATTTAAATTTATCATTGATGCAAATGGGAATCATCAGGTCACTCCAGATATTGACAACTGTAATATTTACTACACTGTCAATCAAAACTGGTAGAAAATTATCAAACAATACATTAAAACGAATAAGTATATCAGGTTCAATTTTTACCACTATTACTGTGTGCATTTGTTTATTATTCCTTCCACCAAATAAATTTACAAAAAATGTTACTCACTGCATGAGTAATGAAGACCTGAAAATACAAGATTTATATAACCTTCATTTCAAAAAGAACTCTAACTCATTGATACAAAATTTTACAAATATTACAAATTATGTAACAGAAAATAGCAATGGAAATATTTTTAAAGAAACTTCACACCAATATACTGCTCTTCAAAAAAGTGGGATTCACAATTCATTGACAATAGCTGGAACTGAAGTAAATGAAATTAAAGAATCACCATTAATAAATAGTAAAGAAATAATTGACAACATTGAATACAAAACAGAAAGTCAATCAATAACAACTGATAATGCTGATCTAAAAGAAATTTCTGAAAAATTGAAGAAGAGCGATCAATCCAAAGAAATAAACATAAAAAGTAAATTAACTTCTGACACATTTTATGACTACAACAATGCAGAATCAGTTCAACATAAAAACATGAATGGAATACAAATTACAAATTCGAAAAAGGGGGATGGAAAAAATGCCTCTAAGACAAGGAAAATCAATACCTCTTCAGTTTTTTATTCACATACAGGGATATCTAATGATGATGCACCTCATTATCAGAACCCCAATAATAATGTGGCTGGTGATATCAAATATTACACTCAAGAAGACCAAGATTCTGGAAAAGAGAATCAAAACAAAAATATTTACAAGCCATACAACGAAAAAATGTCTCACTCATCCATTAATAGTCAATTAAATGAGATAAATTCTCAGAGTTTTCCTTTTTCAAAGAATACAAATGATGAAACTTTCATTTCTAGAGATAGTATTCTTTTGGGAAAACGCACCAATCATCATCAAGCTTTTAACAAACAAAGAATCAGGAATGAACACTTATTGCATAGTAAAAAAAATATTAATTATTATTCTGGTTGGAAAGTGAATGCTGAGCAAGACCAAAGTAGGAAACCAGAAAAAGAATTAAATGAACTTTTTAGGGAACCAAGAAGTGCATCGCAACCTGACATTTTCAATGATAAAAAAAAATATTCGAGTTACAATAAAGAAGCAGTTGAAAATGTATCCACATCCTTATATGGATACAATATTACAAAGAAACACACGTTTCTTTTCACTGACTTTGTGTGGTCTGAAACATTTCTTTTTGCATTGATTTTAGCAGTTCTTTATGAGCTTTTTTCTTCACAAATAGTACCATGGACTGAAACATTTTGTTACTATAATGCTGATGAATTGAACTATGATCATCTTTACGCCTCTCAAATTGTCTTCACTAAATCAGTTCTTTGGCTAGTGAGCTATCCAATTATTGCTGTTATCACCACTATAACTTTATGTCCTTACCAAATTGCCTTGCATTGTTTCATTGCTGCTGTAATTTTAGTGTTTGCATTTGTCGTAGCACTTATATTTTTGTCAATGGATTATTCAGAAACAAAACATTTTCGAAGTAGAAAATCATCAAAACCTCCCTCAATGGAGAGGAGCATAAGGGAATCAGCTCTTCAAAGGTAAAATTTTCATTAATAATAATAATAATAATAATAATAATAATAATAATAAAAATAATTTTAATAATAAAATTTATTGACTCACATATACAATTACAATTGTGTATGACGAGTCAATATGATGCCTTGGGTGGAGAGAGCGAAGTTATATTACTGTTCAGGAGCAAACAAGGGGCCATCTCTTTCATTAATTTCATTAATTGCTCTATCCTTTTTTTAAGCTTAAAGATTTCTACATGTTCAATTCTTAAAAATTTTAAAAGCCCTAATTTCATACAATTCAACTAGTCTTTTTTGAAGCAATTTTTTTATTGAAAATTTAGCGTAAAACCATATTGAAATAATATTAAAAGGTATATTATTCAAAATGATTGAATTAACATTGCTAAATTTAGAAATATTTTACATAAGATTTTCTTAATAATATTTATGAAGAATATTTAAATGAAATTTAAGTTTTTTTAAAATGCAGAAAGTTACACATCTTTTAATGTTTAATTTTATTTTTATCTTTTCTCAGGGTTTTTGTGACTGCGACAAATATATTAATAGGAGCAGGTACAGCATGTTATGCAGAGAACATTTTGTGGAATATTGAAACATTGCCAGGATTCCCTTACAATTATGAATATCTATACTGTGGATATTATTCTCTAAATGTTCTGTCTTGCTTGGCAACTTCAAAATATTTGCAATACAGAAGTGACAATCAGCAATCAACCAACAGTAGAGATTCAGACTCTGATGATGAATATGTGCATTTTTCATTTGAGTGGATTAAGAGAAATAAAGAAATAATATATGTGGAGGAACAGAAATCTAACATCATAACAGTGTCAGGAACATTTCTTATATCAATGACTCTCTTAATAGTGCCTCTTCTTTCATCTGCATGGATGTTACTTCCTCTGGCTTTCCTCAAAGGAGCAACAGATGCTTTTCTTGAAATAGTAGTTCCACAAGGATGTTGGTTTACTCTAGTGTTTGGATATGGCATTGGTTGCTTTCTGGGATCAACAATAGCAAACATCTTTGGAATGAGAGGACTATTTTACTCTGCATCTTGTGTCATGTTCGTCTGCAGCTTGAGTTGGTTATGTTACAGGTGAGTACTATTGAAAACTTTATTGAAAATTAGAAGACTGCATGCAGTAATAAATTACAACAATGTTTTACATTTTACAATAAATTACAACAATGTTACTACATTTTCATACCCAAAATCTCCAACATAAATTAAATGGATTAAATGTATAGAGACCTTGAAGCAGACAGACATTTCACCAATGAATTATAATTAACATTATTAAATATTAATTATACAATTATCTGGCCCAAATGTAGATGGTGAGGATTTTTGCCTATAACTTCAATATTAATGAAAATGCAAAAGATAATTAAATATATGTCTCCCTCCTTGCAAACAACTTGTTTCCGGATCCGTTAATGGCTATGGTCATTAGTCCCGTAAGTGAAGTGCATTTTCTATCATGGGAGGTGTCCGTGTTGGGTTTTCGGTTGGATGGTGATAACCGGCACCGTCGGCTTGAGAACGTTTCCCAACCTAGGTATCTCCCCCAGCGGGCACTCTCAGCCGGGACTTCCGACGCGAGTGGTAGTGCAGAGAATGTGAGTGTAAATGAATGTAAGTAAGGGTTGAGAATGCGACAAGTACCAGGAAGGAAAGATTGGGCGCGGTCCACGGCCCGTTTGTTAGGGCCGTCTGGTATTGATCGGAGAAACCACGTAAAACTAACGATCAGGGCAGCGGCCGCTAGAGTTCTCCTCCAGGCAGCGGCTAAATTAGACCTAGACATCTTGCCAGTGTTGAAAATCCTGTCAACGTGGGGACTCGTACCCTAGGACCTCCCGGTCAGAGGTACTGCTGCGGCGTGAGCTCTTGCCCAAAGCCCTTTCATGTCTGATATGCAAGTTTATATTGAGAAATTGTAAACTCAATAAAGTTGCCTTGCTCATCTATCCCCAGAAACATGAAAAAGAATAGGAATATTTTAGTCTGTTTTATCTATTTTTTGTTGTTGTAATTTTAATGTTTCATTATATATATATATATATATATATATATATATATATATATATATATATATATATATAACTGCTTAAGAGAACAGAAAGAATCCTTAATCATAAAGCTGCCGTGGTCATAATTTACCGTAGAGTACAGAATTAACATATAAATTGATCTCTCTTCTGTAGTAGTACAAAAACTGCCTGTATGTCATTATAAAAAATGCCCTGACTTTTTGTGTTATGTCCTGACTTTTTAAACCAATGATTCTGATTTTTTCAACTGGGTCTCTAGTAACCGTACATTAGCCTACGTGGAATTCTTCCCTTGTGTGAAAAAACGTCTAGTGGTCGGGTTTTCTGAACGGTATTTTTTTCATGGTTTCTCCTATCAGTACCAGGCGAATGCCAGAGTAGTACTATAATAAACGGACCACAGATTTCGCGTGATCTTTCTCATCCTTTCGCCTTAAACACTAACTCTTTAACGCACTAATATACTACGAGATATCTCGGGATACGGGTTGGGTCCTAGAGTTATCCCGGCAGATCGGGAAATATTTTGATGAGAAAAATGCTCCTGAAATCACAAAAAGTTCGACCCCGTATTTCATGTACTAGCGGGAGAGACCCACCGCCTTCTTCAGATTTATTGATTGATTGGTTTATTGATGTTTCGTAGTTTCCACGTCAACTGAAATACAACATGAAATACACTTATGGGACTAAATATCGTAGCAGTTAACGCGCCAGGAAATCAATCAATCCACTATGATTTTTCTATGATTCTTCTAATCTAATTATTTTTCTTTCTAATTTCTCTAATCTTCATTATAATTTTTCTGTGCTTCTGTACATATTATGCAACGTTTTTCCCAATTTTACAATGTTTTTCGCTGCATGCCAGATCAATTTAATACTAAATGTAAGATTTCCAAACAGATGTGTGATACAGAATATAGTGAACATGGTTGATGAATAATATGAATAATTCAAGTACAATATATATATATATATATATATATATATATATATATATATATA